AATCTATAAATACCACTCATTTCGTTCTTTTCAAATTTGTGTTTGTTATTTATAAGCATTTGACTCATGTTATTGTTGTTTGTGAAGGCGACATTAATGTTATGCTTGAATAGGATTTCTTTAAATTTGTATTGTAGATTAGGTTGATAAGGTAATTTTACATAAGTTAGTTTTTGTTTACATCTAGGGAAAATTAAGTTGTTTATATTACTTCTATGGAAATTATTGAAGGTCTGAATATCTTTTATATCAAATCCATTTTTAAGTCCAATTTCTGTTATCAGAATCAATTCATTGGTGAAGTCTCTATTGCTAAGTGGAATGTGTGCAGCTCTATGGAAGAAGAATCGAAATGCTGCAGTTTTATGGCTTATGCAATTGAAAGACTTTTTAGGTATCACACAGTCGGTAGCAGTTGGTTTTCTATATATATTGAAATCCAATGATTTGTCATTTGTATGTCTTTTTATAGTTAAGTCTAGGAAATTAATGCTGCGGTTAGATTCCTTTTCGATGATGAATTGTAGACAGCTAATATTATTAAAGACATTCATGAGAGCGCTAAGCATTGCGTGGTTACCCTCGTAAACCATTAATATATCGTCGACGTATCTAGTGTAGAACTTAGTATCTTTTGTAAATAAACGATATTTGTCGGAAAATAGAGTGCTTTCAAAGGAACTAACGAAGATGTCAGAAAGTATATAGTATTTATTATTGAAAATGAAACTTCAATACAGTTATTATTTAAATACAAGTTTTGAACAAATATGGTCATCAATCAACATAACTAAATTTTCAGCGTTCCATAAGGTAGAAAGTATCCACAACTTTTGTTTTAATCTCCACGAGGTCCCACAAGATGTGATTCACACACACAATGTGATAATATCAACATGGAAATACATAAAAACATATATTGTAGTTTGTGACAATATTGTGTTGGTTTGGCACTTTACATAACGCAAACGAAAGTTTTGTACTGCACTTGTTGGTAGCTTATTATACTTTTTCATTATAGTTGGGCTGAGCAGAGGTGATCTCAACAGGAGCCTTATACAGGTTCAATATTTCTTTTGCGAGCCATGTTATATCTCTTTTCATATTTATTGAAAAGTAAAAAATAATTGAATTATAAATTCAGCCGATTTTCCTTCTATAATGTTTTAAAATCCAGCGTATACTTTCTCAAGGCGGTTCGCTGTAATTCTTTGAGATGTTGATTAATTAATTGTGAGCGATATTTTGTCTTAACTAACTTTATGTATAAGTATAAAGTCTCACAAGAATATGTTGTACCAAAAATTGAAAATAGTCGACAAAAATAGTCGAAAATTGTTTCTGGCACCAATTTCCAAAATGTCTGATCCTCCTTCATTTCTAGTACTTCTAATTCTCCCGATGCTATTATAGGATAGTATTATATCAGAAATCGAACACCATCTTGAATTATATTAATTGCAAATGGACAAAAAATGAAATTGTTTAAAAATTCTCAGATCTTCAAATCTGATTTTAAACTTCGTTTTCACCTCTTCAATTTTTTCTTGATGTTCATTAATTTTATCTTCCTTAATATTAAAGAATATCGGTAATATCTTACAATATAGTAAAATGTATTCAATTACATTAGTAAAATCTCCTTCCTCTTTCAGTTCTTCTAAAAGACTTTACAATATTCCACAATTTGCAACTTTTGGATCACTTTTCAAAAGATCAATAAGTCCTTGGTGTTTTCCTAACATTACAAGAATTCCATTGGTCGCAACGCTTACATGTTTATCAATAGGCAAGTGAAAATTATTCTAGCATTATGTTGTTTTTGTTGAATGTTTAATTTTACTGATTATTAATAAATTCGCTGCAGAAAACTTTAAAGTGTTATAATTTCGTAAATAATTGAAATAGGACATTAACATTTCTTTTTGGTAATTGGATTAGCTATCATATGTTAAAGTTTGATGGTGAGCTAATAAATCACCCTCAGAAACGTATCGGACAAAAATCGTTAATTGTGGAATATCTTAAATGTCTGTAGATTCGTCAAGCGTAATTGCAGTACAGTTATTTAAATTATGTTTCAAATTATTTGCAAAAGTTTTATTTATTACAGAAATACGGCGTGATGTTGGAATTTGGGTAATCAGTTTCTGCAATTTTTCATTAGTTGTTTCCAGAATGTTAATTACGTCTACTAGGTTCTTTTTAATAAATTCTCCTTCAACATTCGGGTGTTTTTCACGAGCAATATTCCAAGATATAATAAAACTTACTTCAATTTTCCTGTTATCTTCGTTACTACATGAAGGTAAGAGGCCTTGTTGTTCCTGGAAACACATTTTTAACGACATTAATTTTTCTTTTCGCAATTTTGTGTAACTGTGTAAATTACTTATTTTATAGTTTGCGATGGTACTTTTACAAATAAGAGACAATTGGTTACCATTGTATTCGATAAATGCGAAACTTTCCTCCCATTCGCTACGAAAACATCTATTTTCTTCTTCACATTTTCGGTTGTCATGTCGCCTAAAAGTATTATAATTGAATAACTTCCTTTTAAAAAGAGTAAATGATAATGGTACTATAATATAGTACAATAATTAAGGTATATGAACTTAAATTATGGTTACCTGGGTTACTTGGGAAAGACCCTTCCTATAAGGAAGGGTTATTCCTGGGAAACAGCAAAAGTACAAAACTTTTACAAAAACCTTATATACAAAACTTTTATATTTACGATGCAAAATATTGTTAAAAAACTTAAAAAAGATATTTAGTATTTGTGATTTCAACAAAAAATAATGTTTCAGTGTTGAACAAAATTAAATTAAAACAGGATCATTTATGTTATTGAATTCCATTAGCAGCGCGATTTTAATCGTTTTATCCTGAACTGGTATTATAGGCCAAAAATAAAATTGATTGTTTCTACTACTATCCGTGCAAAAAGTCAAGGCCCCTCACTTTACAGATCGATATCTTCGTAACCGCTCGATGGACAAAATTGCGGTAAAGTTTATTGTAATCAGTGAACATTTGTGCGTATCACATGTTAATTTGGAAATTTTCGGGTCCGCGGTTTTTCTTTTATCGCGAGTTAAGTGAAAAAAGTACCCGATTTTTGAGAGTGCCAGCAACTTTGTCTACTTTGCGATTTTTTTTCTTAAAGACTTTCAAATTTGAACTGGTGGTAAACCGATGTGTTCTTAATGTGGGGCATATTTTATTTTTTCGATATTCCATATAGTTTTGCGGAAAACTCGCGAATTAGTAGGATGCGGTTATTTCGAAAACGATCTGGTGGATTTCAACGCGGTTTTTACCAAAATATGTCAAATAATGTCGGTTGTCGGATTCCGTTATCAGTTTTTCAAAATTAGGGTTCCCTAATTTTTTAAGAGCGATTTAATGGAATAACACATTAAAGAGAAACAGAAATAAGCTATGCGGGGAGGAGAGGGTTCCGTGCAATCGGAACAGATGGTGCCANGACTTTTCTTGTCTGTTTTCGATCAGAGAATACGCTGATGCAGTATTGTACAATCGTTGCGGGACACCTGTATATAAAACTTTTATATTTATGATGCAAAATATTATTAAAAAACTTAAAAAAGATATTTAGTATTTGTGAATTCAACAAAAAATAATGTTTCAGTGTTGAACAAAATTAAATTAAAACAGGATCATTTATGTTATTGAATTCCATTAGCAGCGCGATTTTAATCGTTTTATCCTGAACTGGTATTATAGGCCAAAAATAAAATTGATTGTTTCTACTAGTAGTCCGGTATGAAAATTTTGGTTTTTATAATCTATTCAATAAATCGAGATGTATTTCAAACAAATATTATATTCGTGTTTTATAAGTACGAAGGCTTTCACAGCCGGTATTAATAGAACTAAAACTAGAAATAACACTAAACTTAGTGTGTAGCCGTCTAAATAGGAGAAACACACGGCTAAATAGTTAGTTCTAATGATATTCGAATATATCATATTTTATTTAATTATGTCACGCAAAACAAAATCTCTTTCGCTAATTTATTATACACAAAAACATAAACCTGTTAATTACCCACATGGAGTTGTTAACAACCACGTGTCTGCTTGTGTAGTTTGATTTCACTAACTATTATCTAGTTTAATTAAATTCGTTATGTTTACCTATATCGCCAAACAGATTAATCAAATTTAGAGTGACTGTGTTGAGTTCACTGAGCAAATAATGATAAAGCTCCTAATCTAATTTAATAAAATAGATACAATACACTATAAATACACTATGAATAGACTACAATAGTCTCTTTCATATAATAATCTCTAATAGTGTTATTTTTATTTTAATTTCAGATAATGTATCCATTCGAAGCTTCATAATACATCTAAAAAACTATAATTTTCTTCAAAATGGACAATATAACCGATATAACTCCAATAAACAACATCACAACCCCGGCTACCTTCAGATACTGCAGGTTAGACCAATTCAGTAATGGATATAGAGAGCTACACGGTTTCCTCAGTATTCTCGTTTGCGTGCCTGGATCGATAGCAAACGTATTAAATATTTTCATATTGACATCAAGAGAAATGAGAAGCCCAACGAATTTTATATTAACCGGATTAGCATTGGCCGACCTAATGCTTATGTTGGAATACGTGCCATACTCAGTACACGTTTATTTCGATCCGTTAAATCGTAAAAGGATCAGTTATTTTACATATCAAGCTGCCGTATTTATGTTTTTCCACGCCCTGTTCAGTCAAATCTGCCACTTTATCTCTTGTTGCTTAACGTTAATACTGGCAATATGGAGATATATCGCTATAACGTACGTTCAAAACACAAACATATGGTGTGGTCCGAAGAGAACGATGTGGGCGATTGCGTTAACTTATATTTTTTGTCCAATTATATGCTTCCCCATATTTTTAAATTTAACAGTAGTACCCAAGTCTCGACGTGCGTTTGAAAACGGCACACTTGTTGATGACAATATAAAGATGTCTTTTGAAAATTGTACTTTATATAATACGACAATTTATCATTTAGGATATAGTCAAAATGTAATATATAACAAAATAATGTTTTGGGTGTACGGCGTAGTGCTGAAACTCATTCCATGTATTTTATTGACGATTTTTTCGCATCAATTAATAAAAGCCGTTATTGCTGCAAAGAAGCGACGATACAATCTTTTGAGCAACAAAGGAATAAAGTTGGAAAAAATAAACGGCAAAGCCATCGTAGCTAGTAATCAAAGATTTTTAGAAAAAGAACAGCAAACGGATAGAACGACGAGGATGTTATTAGCTGTACTACTTTTATTTCTTATCCCGGAATTTCCTCAAGCGATATTGGGACTAGTAAGTGGGATACTTGATAAATTTGACGAAGAATGCCATAGACCTTTAGGTAAGAGAAATTTTAAATTTAAATAATATTTATGAAATCCAAAACCGAACTTAATGATCAAGAAGCGATTGTAATTTGAGAATTTGAAATAATACTGACATTTTAACGCCCACCACAGCACGAACGTTACTAAAACAACTCAAAACATTTACATTTCGTTTAGTTACTATTTATAAGATGTTGTTTTGATTGAAGATCGATTATTTAGAGGAATAAATAAGGCGATTAAAAGTAAACGTTAGAAGATATAACAAAATTTTCGTTGTTTTTCGTACACAATGTAATCTAGGAAAAGATTTCGCCGGGTTTTATAAACATGACCGTCCTTAAACTTTATTAGACACTCGAGACTTTACAGTGTAGTTCATGCAAATTGAGTGTTACAATTTTATTTGGTCAAGGTAGGGGAAACTATGTAAACTTTATTTCGTTAAAGAAAATTCAAAAATTGCGAATATGATGAATATCCTTGGACAGTCTGTCCACGTCGGAAACAATCAATTCAGACCGGTTTTTGCGAAAATATTCTTTTCAACGCATCAACATAAATCTCGGAAGCTTTTTCACGCTGTCGCCGAACTTTCCACACACTGATTGATAGCGTTTCCAGCGCATAATGCGGACACGTCCTCCAGCTTCCACGTTCGTTTCATTGCTGCAATACTTGCATCACAAATTCTACCGTTGTCTGGTTTCCAATCATAAATCAGAATGAAATTACAACCATGATATTTACATCTTCGCTAAATTTCATTTTATCAGATAGTATTTGGAAAGATTCCAACAATGATTTCAAAATTTTATTAACGTAGATTATCTTTTATTGCGTAATATTCTAAATTAGTTCTTTTTCATCTACAGAATGAAGTAACAACTTGCAAATTATATATCCCTTTATTATTACTTAATGTTTATATGGCCCAACAGTAAATCGATCCTTTAGACGCCTCACCTAAAATAACATAATAACATTGAGATTAACTTACAAGGGAAGTATCAGAACTGTCCCTCACCGATTTTATTGAAATTTGGTACAGCGATAGTATGGCCAAAAATAAGGTTTACGTATTTTTTAATACGTGCTAATAAAACCCCTGGGGCGAGTTATAAGGGTTGGAAATCGGGGCGAAATATATATATTCGCTTATAGGCTGAAACCGAAAATAGCTATCGAAATGTGGTAAATATAAACTGATATTCATTTTCAAAGAGCTTTCCATTGATATATCACACATATATCTGAGGGCTTCAGGGGGTAAACTACCCCTAGTTTTTTGGAATATTTTAAAAACTACCCTGTCGATTTTGGCGATATTATGT